ATACATGATCACTGCAATGGACTCAATGACAGATATGATAAGCACTTACTTTCGTGACTCTTGTTTGCCATCGTTTGTCAACAATTGAGTGTTCAATGGATTGGTGTTAATGTATAAAAACATACAAATATTATGATAATGATTGACTAAAAACTTTCAGCATTTCATAAATTTCATACAAATCATTATAAAAATGCTATTATTATTACAGTTATAGTAATTGTAAAACACTTTACGGTTTGTGGTATCACTTACTCATCACTCACTCCACTCACCAAATGTCAACACAAATGCCATCGCATTATGACATGCAATCTATTGTTGATTTTACCATTATATTAGTCATACACTCACTATAATCAGTACTGCATCTTATGAATGACCCCACAGTCAACCTACAGTCAACCGCACACTCATTCTACTCGATGCCATTCACTCATTACATATCATTTATCACCATATACTGCCCCCTTGTATCATATGCAACAAATAGTTGCCAACAATTTGTCCATTATGATATTATATGATATTATATGATATGATATAATAATGTGATTGCAGACAATTTACAATACAATAGTATTATATTGTTACCGCTAAATGTAATGTCTATTTAATCTCATTAAATTAGTTTATTTCATATTTTCAACCAAACCCTAGACTCATCTAAATATTTTGTATTACAAATTAATTATGTACTTTTCTCAAGGTAATTTAGACTCAAGAATTATTAAATACTCAATATATTTTGTAAATTTTATTTTCATTACACCTTGTTTAATTCTTAAAACAATTATATTTTACTAAATAAATATAATTCTATTAAAAACTTAGTTTATGTTAAAAATTGAAAAATATTAATTTAAATGAAGATAATGTGCATGAAACATTTCAATTCATTAGATTTGTTTTGAATTCATTATGATAATAATATTTAGATTCAATATATTTAAACTTATGATAAATATATAATATTTAAAAATAGAGTTGATTGTAAATTCATTTGAGATCAACCATAGATAATCTATATTAGTGTTACAGTTAGTCTATAAGAATATAAAGAATAAATGTTTAGTATTCTATATCATATAATACCGTGAAATATTGTAAAAAACAATTGCTGATTAATAAATACTGGATTTTAAGTAATAAGTGTATGATTTGAGTGATAGTTATACATATGAATGAGTGGACAATGAATGGCAAGAGTGAGTGAATTGACTGAATGGTTACAGAATGCATACAATTCTCTAGAATTGTGTGCAATTCATGCAAAAGTGTTTGAATGAAGTGTTTGGAGATGTGGTGAGCGGTGACTGCAATGACAGCTAAACCCCTATTCATAGCAAACACTTGACTTAACTCTGACTCCATTATATGGTTTGCAAACTGCAGTGGACTTTGAGTTTGAGTTTGATTTGATCGACAATTCGTTTAATTGTTGTTTGGATTGAGATTTGAGTGAAGAATGAGTGAAAAGATTGAGTTGAAGACAGCGCCATATGACCCACGCTTTCCCAACCAAAACCAGACCAGGTTTGACACCTTAAGACATGTTTGTCATTGACTCTTACGGTTGTGTTTATATATGATATACAGGAACTGTTACCAGAACTACCTGGATTACCACCGGTGCCAAAAGGTGAAGGGTGACAAGTATGAGCCATGTCAGTGGTTCAAGTGGGCCTACACTGAACTCTGTCCCAAAGCATGGGTTTGTATGACGTGACCATTGCTGTGATATGTGTCCACTCATTGCCTGATGATTGGTGTCTTAGACCGAGAAATGGGACGATCAGAGAGACAACGGTATCTTTGCTGGAAGAATATAAGCCATTCATGCGGTGAACACCACTTCCAACACAAGAACCCTTTATTGTACTTTCATTTACTTTGAGTTAATGTTAGAGTAATTAGAGATTGGATTTTAAGTCAAATACAAATACAGTTATAAATTAGTTAAGAAATTAATTACAAATGAATTAATTATCAAAAATTCAATAAACAGTTATTCAAAA